CCTGCAGTGCTTGGACAAACAAAACTGAAACTCTTTCATCCTCAGATCTGAGACTTTTTCTCATCTTTGAAGATAAGACTCAAGGTTGGCTTTTGAAACTGCCCACTAAAAGTGGCTTTGTCTGAGTTTATGTAACAGACTTTGCAACAGTACATTTTAATGCATTTGGAGTTGCCTCAGTCACACCAATTGTGCACCGATAATGAGCAGAATTTGAAAAATGTGCTCTCCAGCGAGAAGCCGTATAGTTGATCAGGTGATGGCAGTCTTGCTTGTGTCCCATGTCCTTCTCTAGCAGGAGGTCCCAATGATGGATGTTTTGTGATGTCCAAACCACAGCTCTGATTACTAAGGTGGTTCCAGCTCTGCCTAAAACACACGTGAAGAGCTGCAGTCCTGCTGCCTCCTGTCTGTGCTGTCATTCATGCTTATCTGCTATTTCTGTATCCTGGTTTACACCCATGCTGACTTTGCTTCATGTTTTCTTGTTTCTATGTAAAATTTGACAAGGCTGCACCTTATCACTGTTGTTCCTTTCCCTCCTCTAGAAAGCCATGACAGTAACTGTCATTCATTCTGAATGAAGAAAGCTGCTGTGTTTAGAGCTTTCTGTAATAAATTAAAGCTATTGCCGTGGTGACTTTTGATTGTCTGGAAGATGTTTAGAAACTGTGGGTGATATTAGGGCAGTAGCCACCATCTTTTTTGAGGCTCTTTATTGTTTTTGGAAAGGTTATTACATCAAGCTTTCACCAAGATGAAGATCTACAGAACTGTGTTTTACGTTAATTTTTATTGTGTTATAGTGAAATACAGAAGAGTCTTGAAGAGCAAGAAGCTTGACTTAAAGTTTTTATTTTTCTATGTTAGCTTTTCAAAACTGAAAGGTATTGTAGGAAACTATGAGGTTGTGCATTAAGTAGTAACGGTGAGACTATGCAGTGCTGAATCCAGTAATTACTGTCATAAGCACTGTAACCAAACCAGTCCTGTTTTATATGCAAAAATAATTGACATGGCAAGACAAGAGGAATTTTTCCAGGGTGTATTGATTTTAATTTGACAGAAGTTACCTAAAGCTACCAATAATTCACAAAGAAAATGTATCTTCACCATTTCAGAGAGTCAGTGCTGTTTAATTTGAAGAATCTTTGTAGATTTTGCCATGGACAGTACTTTTATCAATAGTGAAAAGATAAACATGCAAGATGCTGAGCACCATACCTTGGCCTTCTCTACACAGGGGCTTCAAGGAATGCAAATGGTAAAGCTGTTGTGTCTGTCTTCCCAAGAGATCATAATCTTCTCAGCCTCCGCTGAGCAAAGCTTTGTCTCTCTCCCCTACCTCTCACTAATAGCCAAGGAACGCTGATCAGGTAAACATCTGTGGGGTCCTTTTTCATAACGTGCCCCCTTGTGAGACACTCTATATACTTGCTTATTTGTTTAGATCTGCTTTGACTAATGGACGATGTGGAAAGTTGATTGAATGATTGTTGACATCAGCTTTACACTCTCTTACCTACTAAACTTCACAGGTATGAGATAAGTTACAGAAACTCCTTCATTTTTCCTTATTAATAATTCTGTTGTCTTGCAGCTGTTATTTATGTGTTTATCCCATTGTCCTGGTTTCAGCTGGGAAGACAAGCTAAGACTTTGAGGAAGCTTTTGGGGTTTGGAGGGGGATTGGGTGGTTGCTTGACTGAAAACAGTGAGCTGTCATAATCCATATTTTCATCAGAATGGCATCTGATAATGTGTCACATAACACATAGTGGTGAGCTGTAAGTTAAGTAGCTGTTTGAAGTTCTGTTCATTCCTTACAAATCTACAGGTGTGGTCTGTCACTGGAATCTTTAATTGCACACATCTGCACAGTGGTACTGTAGTTCACTCTCCACGTTTACAGGTGTTACGGCTTGGATTCAGCTTCCTTGATTATTCCTGTTGTGTATGTCCATGGTGCACAGTCTGTATTTTCAAATTATGGGAAAGCCAGGCTGTTTCTCAGTCTCTTGCCCCATCACCTTCCAAAAAAGCTTGCTTTGTTTTGAGAAGTCCCTGACTTTTAGTTAATCAAAGTCTCTCTCAGAGGTTTTTGCCCTCTTTTCGGTAATTCAAGTGGCATTGCCAAGAGATTTTCTGGCTCCTTTTTGTATTAATATTAGCTTTGTGCTTTAGAGTAGGGGTATTGATTCTGTGATTCCCGTTTTGGAAAAAAGCCAAGTCGCGTATCATACAGCTCTGCATCTTTAAAGGCAATACTGGTTCTTGCTTACTTGATCCCTTTCTGTCAAAGCCTGAAGATTGCATCTCTTTTGATGAAGGATCGGAGTCAGAGAGTTCTTCTGAGCATTTTTAAATGTTGTGTGTAGACTGTAGCTATTAAGAGCTAAAATAGTTTCTGTCTTTGTGCTACGTTCCATCGTCAGGATTGTTCAAGGTGACACCCTTTCCTGAAGAAAGTTACACGTTGATCATTTGTACCCTATCAGCTTTAAAACGCTGCTACTTTGATGTCTGTGTGTGAGAATAAACCATAAGATGACATGATAGCCCTTCCACTTTCAGAGAACCTGTAGATATAGGATGTTTGTAAGGTCCTTAGCTGCATAACCACAGCTGTTGCGAACATCTAGTATCTTAAAGAGAAGTTAGCATGATGCTTCTCTGAGGCAGTATTTGTTCTACTTTCTTTATGAAGAATCAAAATCCATCAGCTATTTTTCAACATCTTTTTATAGCTGATTTTGCAATGTAAGAGTCGTTATCACCATTTTAAATCTATTGGCCCTTCATATGCCTTGGGTTGCTTCTTGATGTGAAGTTGCAAAGGAGTTATGTGAACGTAATGTTTGTAAAATGCTTTGAAGAAAAGCTCTACAGTAGGTTTTTATTACTACCAGAGACAAAGTGAGCAGGAGTGGCTTAATGTTGGACTGTTCATTTCCCAAGAGATGGCTTTGTTTTGAAGAGTGTGCATTATCAATTGGGTTTGAGACAAAATTATCTTATTTCAATCTTGAATATAAATAAAGTGGCAAACTTTCTACCTTGAGATTATTTGCATGAGACGTTTGTAAAAGAGCAGAGCAGTTATGGTACTATCTTGGCTCTGTTCTTAGCTTGTGTTTAATGGAACGTTTATTTAATGTATTTGGTTTGTACTATCCAAAGGTATTTTGAATCCAATCCATTCAAACATCCTTATGTATATAGCAATATTTTTTATATCTATATGATATGTAGATATATAGGAGATATTTATTTGGGAAATATATATATATTTGAGATCCATATTTGAGATATATATATTGCCCTTCTACAGATAAAATCAGTTTCAGCATGTAAATAAAAAGTGGCCTGCATTCAGAAATGGTGACGTTTTATTAGAATTTGGTTCACAAACAGCTCAATCTATCACATATAAAAGAACTGACTTTTTTAAAATAGTGCTTTAAATATTTCTTGAATCATTTTTATTTCCAGCCTGTATCTGCATCATAAACTGATAGGTGGTTTTACAGGGGAAGGAAAAAAAAAATAGTAGTGAGCTGTTTGGCAATTCTCAAGCTACTACTATTTCCTTGTGAGTCAGAGGAGAAGACGGGGAGCTGCGTCACTCAAATGGAAATTCGACTTCAGCTCGCTAAGCGGGGGACAGCTTCAGGGACACCGATGTCCTCCCGTGGTCCGTTGTGTCCCTTGCCCTTGGAGTGGGTCATCGCTCCCACCCAGCAGCCATGTTTTGACAGAGTGAGGGTTTGGTGGTGTCAGCACAGCGCGCCTTCGGGAGCCGGGGCTTTCTGAAACAGCTGCTGTCGGCGGAGGGGCACGGGGCACTGCGTCCCTGCGGCCTTGAGCGGGCCACCTCGCTCCGTGCAGCTGCGAAAGCTTCGGGCTCCTGCCTGGCACTTGCGGAAATCGTTGTGGAATTTGCTGATTCTGCCAGACGCGAGCTAAAGGCTTGTTCCCAAGTGGTGCGTCCCATCGGTACAGCTGTTGGTTATGAAAAACGTGCAGGGGCTTTCATCCGTAATAATAGAGCTTTGTTGAAGTATTGCAAGCTCAAAATATTCCGAGTAATACTATCATCCAGTAACTCCTTGCTTAGCCTATAGGGAGCTTTTGTCCCCCCATGCTTCGGTTAAAATGTTCATTTATTGTCGTCACTTATGTCAGAGGTAGGGAGGGAGAGAGGCTGAATTTTCCCTGGGTACTGTCAGTAAGGATTAGCTGAGTTGTTGGGCAGTGCTTTCAAAATATTCTGACCTGTTTACACAACAAAACTGATTAGAACAAAACAAACAGTTCTGGTCAGTGGCTGTATGCTGTATTGTGGCAGCTATGTTTGGCAGTGGGTTTTCTCCTCGTTTTTCCAATGTAGACAAAACCTGAATGCTACAGAAACCGTAAGCATTACAAGCAGATAATACCCTTACTGAATAGCTTGATTCTCCTGTTGCCTGTTGGGGAAAGGGGACAGTTTGGCCGTAATTCAGTTGGAACAAATGCTTATGAAGCAACTGACAAGAAAGTATATGAGTGTATTTATCATTTTGCCATGCAGGGTAATAAATAATTGCATCATTTCCAGCAAGCCGCAGTATATACCTGCGAGATGGTGGATCTCTCTCCAAGGTGTAATCTCTGCAAAGAAGCATTAAATAGGGAATTGTGACAGACTGTAAGAATTGTTGGTTTCCTGCTTGGCTTTTATTTTTTTGTTTTGTAACAAGCACAGTGGATACTTGCAATTACCTCCTTGTTTTGATGTGATATCCCCTAAGGAATGAAGTGACATAAATGTTTCATTTTAGCTATTCAGACAACCATTCCATATTTCCTGGGTCACAGATTTTTGGCAGTTTGGAGGATAAAATTGCCTGACACTCAAGATAAGAATTATCTCTTTCTATCTTGCATCTGGAACTCAGATTTAGTATTTAGAGAATACTAAAAAGAAGTCTTTTAAAACTTGTCTCTTTTTTTCTTATTCCATTTAGTGATAGTCCCAATGCTCTCCATGAGGTGGAAAAGTGGTTACCACGACTGCACTCAGTTGTCATAGGACCTGGCTTAGGTAGAGATGAAGTTCTACTTGAGAACGCTAAGGTAATGTATATACTGATATTTTATTCCGTGTCTTTATGTTGGATTTTATTTCTGATCTTTTGCATGGTTACACAATTGTTTTTGATTAGAGTTACTAAATAACAAATTTAGTAAACTATTGTTGTCTGAAAATCACAGCTGTTAGTCATGGTCTTAATTGATAAACTGTAAGCATCCCTCTGAACTTCAGGCACCTATATGGTTGTTTTGATTTGATTTTTGTTTTGATTGTGAAAATTGCTAATTAAGAAATAGATGTTGGCATCTCTAGATAAAGGGCTGTGTGTTTTGTTAGGTGCAAAAAAAATGAGAACTCAAATTCATATTTCATATGCACCTGAACTGTAAGAACATAAATATGCATTTGAATTCCTAATTCAGGAAATTAGGAATTATGTCAGGAGAGATACTAAAGAAGAGGGACTGTGTCCTTCTTCAGTGAGAAATAATACTCTTAATTGTGAAATGTTTTAGATTTCTACTCTGGATAAAGAGGTAACCTTATTTCTGTGAAGCCTTAGTGGAGATCTGAAAACGGGAGCTTAGAGAGTTCTGTAGTCCAAATAATATACAATAATATAAAGCAGTCTTCCAGATTGTGTCTTGTATTACTGTCAACACGTCTTTGTACATTCAAAATATATATTTCAGTCTAATGTCAATCTAATTTAGTACAATTTAATTTTTTTCATGATAAGTATTGCTGAATTAATCGGTAGTACTAACAAATGGAATTAATATAGTTTACAGAAATGTTGATGGTTACACAGTGAAATTGCATAACAGAGGAGACAAGACACTGGAGACCACACTATCCAAGTCGTTTGGAATACCTTGAGAGCTATGGAGGGTGGTTTTGCTAGGCTTTTGTTAGAGAAAGTTGCTATTGAAGCTCTTCACTTTAACTCTCCTGCTTCTAAAAAATGTTTGGATTATGATATAGAGGTGCAAGGCTAATAAAGAGCATGGATTCACAAAGAAAGAAAAAAGAAATTTATTACAGCTGATCAAGAAATTAAATTCTATTCTGAATAAAAAAAATCCAGTAGATATTTTATTTGGTTTTTAAAACATTTTTTCAAAATTGCTTTCACAGAAAAAAATATTTGGGCAATGATTTTTTTTTTTTTTTTTTTTTTTCTAAAGGAAGAGGATCTTTGAACAAGAGTTAGCAGGACTCATTGAAAGAGCTTTAAACTAGATTTGAAGGGGGAACGGGATAAAACCAGGCTCGCTAGACATAAGCCTGAGACAGCACACCAATGTTTGAGGGACGATATGCTAGTGATGTCCTTTGGTCTGCCATCTCAGTGGAGGCAGGGGATGTAGATCCATGCGGCAGCAGAGATGCAGGATTATTGATGTGTTAGAAACCTTGGAAGCACCTGAGAAGAGTCACAAAGGAGTTGGGGCTTCTTCCCCCAAAAAAGTGACGGGATCAACAGCCCAACTGAAGTGTATCTCCATCAATGCATGCAGCATGGGCAACAAATGGGAGGAGTTGGAAGCCATTGTGCAGCAGGAAAACTAAGATACAGTTGCCATCACAGAAACATGGTGAGATGACTTGCACAATGGAAGTGCTGCAATGGATGGCTATAAACCCATCAGAAGGAATAGGCAAGGAAGGAGTGGGAGTGGGGTAGCCCTGTATGTTGGGGAGTGTTTTGATTGTGTAGAGCTTAATGATAGTGACTATAGGGTTGAGTACTTACGGGTAAGAATCAAGGGGAAGGCCTGCAAGGCAGATGATGGTGGGAGTCAGTTATAGACCACCCAGCCAGGATGAAGAGACAGACAAAATACTGTATAAGCAGCTGGGAGAAGTCTCACAATCACTAGCCCTTGTTCTCATGGGGGACTTCAGCTTAACCAGATGTCTGCTGGAAACACAGTACAGCAGAGAGGAAACAGTCCAGGAGGTTCCTGGAGTGTGTGGAAGAGAAATTCCTGACACAGCTGGCGAGTGAGCCAACTAAGGAAGGCACCTTGCTGGACTTGCTGTTTGTGAACAGAGAAGGACTTGTGGGTGATGTGATGGTTGGAGGGCATCTTGGGCACAGCGATTGTGGAGAAGTAAGGAGGTGAGTCAGCAGAGCTGCCACCTTGGACTTGTGGAGGGCAGACTTTGTCCTGTTCAGGAGCCTGCTTGCCAGAGTCCCTTGGGAGGTAGTCCTGAAGGGCAAAGGAGTTCAAGAAGGCTGGGCATTCTTCAAGAGGGAAATCTTAAAGGCCCTCCCCATGTGCTGAAAGACAAGCCGATGGGGAAGAAGACTGGCCAGGCTGAACAGGGAGCTATGGCTGGAACTCAGAGGAGGGGAAAAATGAGAGTTTATGACCTTTGGAAGAAGGGGCAGGTAACTCAGGAGGACTAAAAGGATGCCGTGAGGTTGTGCAGGGAGAAAATTAGAAAGGCCAAAGCCCAACTAGAACTTAATCTGGCTACTGCCACAAAAGACAACAAAAAATGTTTCTATAAATACATTAGCAACAAAAGGAGGGCTAAGGAGAATCTCCATCCTTTCTTGGATGCCGGAGTAAACATAGTAACAAAGGATGAGGGGGAAAAAAAGCCTTTTTTGCCTCGGTCTTTAATAGTAAGACCAGTTGTTCTCTGGGTACCCACCCCCCTGAGCTGGAAGACAGGGATGGGGAGCAGAATGAAGCCCCCATAATCCAAGGGGAAATGGTTAGCCACCTGCTACACCACTTAGACACACACAAGTCTATGGTGCCAGATGGGATCCACCTAAGGGTACTAAGGAGCTGGTGGAAGTGCTCACCAACCCACTTTCCATTGTTTATCAGCAGTCCTGGCTAATGGGGGAGGTCTCAGTTGACTGGAGGTTAGCAAATGTGACACCCATCTACAAGAAGGCCCAGAAGGAGGATCCAGGGAACTACAGGCTTGACAGTCTGACCTCGGTGATGGAGAAGGTTATGGAGCAAATAATCTTGAGTGCCATCACACAGCATGTGCAGGACAACCAGATCATCAGGCCCAGCCAGCAGGGATTTATGAAAGGCAGACCCTGCTTGACTAAACTGATCTCAAGATGTCCCACTTAGTAGATGAGGGAAAGGCTGTGGATGTTGTCTACCTACACTTTAGTAGAGGCTTTGACACCGTTTCCCTCAAAATTTTCCTGGAGAAACTAGGTGCTCATAGCTTGGACGGACATGTGCTTCTCTGGGTAAAAAACTGGCTGGATGGCTGGGCCCAAAGAGTGGTGGTGAATGGGGTTAAATTGAGTTGGCAGACAGTCATGAGTGGTGTTCCCCAGGGCTTAGTATTGGGACCAGTTCTGTTTAATATCTGTATCAGTGATCTGAATGAGAGGATCAAGTGCATCCTCAGTAAGTTTGCAGATGACACCAAGTTGGGCAGGAGTGTTGATCTGTTTGAGGATAGGAAGACTCTACAGAGGGATCTGGACAGGCTAGATGGATGGTCTGAGGCCAACTGTATGAGGTTCAACAAGGCCAAATGTCAGGTCTTGCACTTTGGTCACCACAACCCCATGCAACACTACGGGCTTGGGGAAGAGTGGCTGGAAAGCTGCCTGGTGGAAAAGGACCTGGGCGTGTTGGTCGGCAGGCTGCTGAATATGAGCCAGCAGTGTGCCCAGGTGGCCAAGGCAGCCAGTAGCATCCCATCCTGGCTCGTATCAGAAATAGTGTGGCCAGCAGGACTAGGGAAGTGACTCTCCCCTTGTACTTGACACTGATGAGGCTGCACATTGAATACTGTGTTCAGTTCTTGGCCTCCCACTATAAGAAACACTGAGGTGCTGGAGCGTGTCCAAAGAAGAGCAGTGAAGCTGGTGAAGGGTCTAGAGCACAGATCTTAGGAGGAGCAGCTGAGGGAACTGGAGTTATTTAGACTGGAGGAAAGGAGGCTGAGGGGAGACCTTATCACTCTCTACAACTACCTGAAAGGAGGTTGTAGCAAGGTGGATGTCAGTCTCTTCTCCCAAGTAACAAGTGATAGGACAAGAGGAAATGGCCTCAAGTTGTGCCATGGGAGGTTTAGATTGGATGTTAGGAAAAATTTCTTCCCCAAAAGGGTTGTCAAGCACTGGAAGCACTGAAACAGGCTGCCCAGGGAAGTGGTGAAGTCACCATCCCTGGAGGTACTTAAAAGACATGTGTACGTGGTGCTTAGGGACATAGTTTAGTGGTGGACTTGGCAGTGCTAGATCACCGGTTCGACCTGGTGGTCTTAAAAGGCTTTTCTAACCTGAATGATACTATGATTCTGTGAAAACAATTTTAAACAAAAGAAGAATTCATTTAGAATATCTAAAATATGTAACATAAGCTTCTATTATATCAGATTTATAAATATCTGTCAATGTGCTTATTCTTATTACAGAAGTATCTGTAAGATTCCTTGATTGTACTTTTTTTTTTTTTTCATCATTGCTGAAAATAATTTTGCTTTCTTAGTGAATTACAAAGCATAGCTTTACTTCAGCCTGGCTGTCTTGCATGAGCTAGCTTAAATAAACAAACCCAGCCCATGAAGACAAGGTGTTTGGAAGTTACTTCATACTAAAATCTCAAACTGTGTTCATATGAGCTGTGGATCTGACCTCATTAATTTCAAGTCACGTTAAAGCTCAAATTATTTGTCTTCACTGCAATTATTTAGGTGTTCATTAGTTACCCAGTGTTGTTGTTTTTTTTAATCCAACTGCTATAATCTTCTAAACTCTTTTGTCGGCCAAAGCTTTAATGAGTGCATGTAACTGGGGACGAGTGAACCCTGGTTGCCTGCTTGAGGAAGGCTGGTGCCTCTCTGTGTTGAAGAAAAGCTGAGTCTCCCTCTTGCTTCAACAGTGAATTTTAAGCTTTCTATCATTCTTCACCTTCAAGAAAAAAAGCAAGTGATGATAACATTGCTATTTTAAACTTTTATAGGAGGCTGGCTTTTTATATAATTTTCTGTCTTCCCTTTAAGCTAACCACAGCATGCTGTCATATGAATGCAAGGCTGA